TATATAGCTATTCTCTTTTAATTTCTGTCTGTACTTCAGAAGTGATTTACATTGATTATTTCGTTCTCGGTAGGAAGACTGACAGATTCAATGCTTCAGAAAGACATCCTAAGTTCATTTACATTATCCGAGGGGTTTTGCCCGATTTCACTCATAATTTCTTCCTCAGTTTCTAAGCCACTCTCCGAAGCAGGTAAATACAGCGTTAAAAATCGAGATGCTACACTTTGGAACAGCCTTCTTCGACTTCTCTAACAGAAAGACTTATGGATCTAAAACCTCCTTGACTAGTTGCCTTCGTTCCAACTTCTCCCATTAACTCTTTTTTAGTCTGATTTTAGCAATTTCGTACGCTGTCAGTTGTTTGACGTTGCCATCATACAAGTAGGTAAGTATTTTCTGAATGTTTTCATTCGCTATTAAAATGTCTTCATTTTCTTGTGTAGTTATTCATCAAGGTCGCGAACGGAAAGAGATCAATTTGTGTTTGGCTGTTTTTCTTTTACAGATCCACGCTTGGGAATTGAGGAGCACGCTGTCAGGCGCTTACAAGGCCACAAAAATTCATTGTTCAAGTTAGACATATTTTTATAGTTACTGTTACCGTTCACATTGAAAAGGAATTACTCCAGTGAACAATATTTTGTATCAAGTTTATGGCATATAACATTATTTTCTAACTCGTTGTTCAAGTTACAGTTCCAAATGAAAACACTTCAAATGTGTAAATGAGAAACAAATTTTAATACATACTTGAAGTTAGAAACTTTGGTATCTTGTCAAGATACACATTGTATAAGGGTGAATTTTCCAATAAATGAGTAAATTTGTCATTTATAATTCCCAACATCTATCAAATTAACGACTTATCAAATCAACAATAAAAATTAATTTCCTCTCACCTTTTAGAACAGCACCTCTATTTTGCTACTACCTACATTTTCAACCACTTTCCCCACCCCACAATCAACAAAGCATTTTCAGTAATTTCCCAATGTGTGTCAAACAACTCCGTAAGCCTAACCATAAGGCATTGGGCCATTTTTCTAAAACACCACTTGCTGTAGTAATTATTACAAATCATCCAGTGAGGGCCTACTCTGGACATCCCTACCCTCCAAAGATAAAAAAATTTCCAGACCTGTTGACTGTTCAATTCAGTTCCCACCGTTTTTATCGACCTTCGACAGCACTCACTTTCATAATGAAATTCCTAGTTTGTTAATTAATATGCAATATAATTAATCTCGCATTTTGATTGGTTCTTACTTACGATCTATCTATTTCTTTTTTTGGTTTCGTTGCCTACGAGAAAAGTAAATAGCTGTTATTGGGGTTATCAGCTGCTTGTCACCCAAACGAGGCGAAAGGGTCAATTCTGCATTGTATATTGACCCTTTCGCCTCGTTTGCATGCCTTTTGAAACAAAAGAATATTTGACCGCAGACTCAACTGCAATAACAGCTATTCCATGTGGCCCTGCGTCTGTTCAGTAATAGTTCCCCAATGACTTAAAGATGTGGTAAGAACATGGATTCTATTTTTTAAGCTGCACCAGATTTATGAGCAAGAGATCAGTGCCAGCCTATTCGTGGCGTTGCGTGACTTTGTGTGTCGTTATGTGTGGCGTTTAACGTGGCGTTATGGTTTCGTAGACTGGTAACTAGTTATAAATGTTCCGCTTACAGCAGATACTGCAGTAACACATGATGAGAAGATGGCCTCCCCAGATAAGGTACAGTGAAGTGTTGTCACGTCTCATATTTTACAGTTGTTCTCTCTGACAGATCAATGTTTTCTGTGTTTCAGCAATTCCTACTGACAGGAGCTCAGGTTGACGGTAAGCCAGGATAATTTGTTTAACTTATTTAATTCACTGATCGTGGTGTTGCAGTCTCGTTACTAAAATGCACACATGCCCTGCTCTCAAGCAAGGCTTTAAAAGCATTCCTCTGCGCTTAAAATAAGTATCTAGTTAATAAGGTTAGTTTACCAAATCGCTTTTAAGCAACTTTTTAGGTATAATGATCGTCAATTGTCATTTACAGCCGTTCTTGTAAATTCTCGAGCTCGAAAATCACATAGTTTCAATTTTGTCGTTTTGCAGTTCAAATTAAGTATACATTTTGTGGTTTACAAAATCATTACTGTTCAATGCGCTTTAAACTTTTATGAAGGTATGCGATAAACCGATTGGTTGGTTTCTCATAACAAGCACATTGTTGTGTATTCTATCCCGCTTTGCTTTTGAAGTAATCAATTCTTTTAAGCTGAAACTCCACTCGTGTTTGGCGTTCGATCGAATAATCAGTTGGCTATTTCACTTTAACCAAGTACTTCATGGATTCGGAATTTCCGGATAAATCTTGCTTTCGTGATTGTGAGTATTATGTACATTTTGCTGGTGGCGGGAATCATTTATAATTCACATGTGCTTTGCTTTAAGGGTTTCAACTTTTCATTCATTTATCATGAATGAGTGAAGTTGTGAAAGAAAGTTGAATCGTAGTTCAGTATAAGCTTCTTTAAGCGCACTTGAAAATCTTTACGATAAATTTATGTGAACAAATACGCAAAATATTTCGTGGTTGTCGGCTACGATTCCTTTTGTGGGATTTCCGAACGCGATCGAATTGAAATGCGAACCTCGGCATACAAAAGTTTCAGAACACCATCCGCGAATATCTGTTGGTTTCGAGATCCCATCAAAATTGAAAACACGACGACCTCTGTAGTTTAAATAAAATTTATTTACTGTTATGTTATAGATAGCTGTAGTAATTTGAAGGGAAGAATTAGTAGGGAAAATTGGCTTCACACCAAATTGTTTTCTGGAAGGAAGGGAGTGTCCCAACAAAACCATGCCACCTGTCAAATCTATTGTCTTTGGTCCCTTTGAGTTACTCTCAGTAAATCTTTGAAGATCTTTAGCAATTTCGTACCAAATCCTTGTTGATGTACAGATGTCTTGTTTTAGTAGATTTGTAAGTCAGAAATTCATTTTGATTGTTATTGTTGTAACCATATTTTTAATTTCTTAATGTTCTATTACGGTTAATATTTTATCAGGGTAATATTATGCTGTGTTTTAGACCGAGTTTTGAATTATAAGCCAGCTTCCTGCAGCCAGATATATTTTTAATTATTTTGTGTAATCGAGAAGTTCGTTGGTCAGCATGCAGATAAGTGCTTTCGTGCTGCCAGCTTAATTTGTTTATGTTTCTGTCAACTTTTTCAAAGTGGCTCTGTATTCCATAACAGTCAGTCGCTACATAGCTTCATATGGCCAGCTATTCATCAGTTTGCGATCAAATCAGCAAGCTGTTGTATCAGCCTAGGTGTAACTTGAATGTACAGTGTATCAAAACATTTGAAACCCCTAAATTATTGCAGTCAAAATGAATTATTGCAATTGATTTAAGATTTATTAGGTTGCAATGCCTTATGTTTTGCATTTTGCTAAACTAGTCTAGATGCATATTATAAATCAGTTGCTGTATTTAACAAGTGAGATATCTAACTTAGATGGAACTATAAGCTGCCTTATTATATAGCCCAATCCCCTAGTCCTGTTCTTAGGTCTTCTTATTTTCAATTGATTATTTCATTGATTGGTGATTATGACAAAACTCTTCTCTGGTTACTGATCTGAAATGTGTCTAAATGCACATTTAAAACAATTGAAAGTGATGTAAATAAATTATTGTTAAGTAGCTTTAATGTTCAGTTTTCAAGTCAGTGTCNCAGCTACAAATCCTATGCAATGTAGTCACATGCAGCAGTTGGTTTCAAAAATTGACCAGAAAGTTGATCACAATCTCTTTTCTTCCCATTTTCTTTTTTTTCCCTTTTTCAGGTGCAACAGGTCTGGGCAAATCAACCATGGTAAACACATTGTTTAAAGGAAGATTGAGCCGAATGTCATCAACTGGAGCTGCTGCTGCTATTCCTAAGACAGTTGAAGTCAAGTCAGTTAGTCACGGTATGACGACATACCTTTGTAACCTTTAGGCATAATTATTTTTGTACCTTTCATTGTGTAGTTCCAGAAAATATCCATACCCACCTCAAGGAAGGTTAATGGAAATTCCAAGTTGAGGGGGTTTTCAAAAGCACAATTTTTTATAGGAAAGTGTGGCACTAAAATGGAATTTCCAGAGGGATGGGGGTGGGGTGTTCAAGGTAAAAAAATATCTGTAGGAGGGGTATCGATATTTTCTGGAACAACACAGTTTTAGATTGTGACAAGCAGCACAAAGGGCAATAACCCTATCACAATAGATAAATATGTTAATCCTTTCTATTCATACGTGTAAAATAATGTGTTGATTGAATGAATGAATGCATGCATGCATGCATGCATACATGCATGCATGCATGAATGAAAACTTTATTAATGTGTCAAAGAAGTTAAGCTGAGGGTAGAAACCCTCTACTGATAGGGGACACTTAAAATAAATAAAATAANCAAGGAAGGTTAATGGAAATTCCAAGTTGAGGGGGTTTTCAAAAGCACAATTTTTTAAAGGAAAGTGTGGCACTAAAATGGAATTTCCAGAGGGATGGGGGTGGGGTGTTCAAGGTAAAAGAATATCTGTAGGAGGGGTATGGGTATTTTCTGGAACAACACAGTTTTAGATTGTGACAAACAGCACAAAGGGCAATCACCCTATTACAATAGATAAATATCTTAATCCTTTCTATTCATACGTGTAAAATAATGTGTTGATTGAATGAATGAATGAGTGAATGAATGCATGCATGCATGAATGAAAACTTTATTAATGTGTCAAAGATGTTAAGCTGAGGGTAGAAACCCTCTACTGATAGGGGACACTTAAAATAAATAAAATAAGTTATTAAAATTAAACACCTAGAATTTGACTATTTACAATAAATAAAATTTAACTACCTCATTTACATTAAAAGACTGAAATTGTAACATGATTATGTTTGCTTGTTTTTCTTTTTCAGTTATTGAGGAAAAAGGTGTAAGGTTAAAACTAACCATCACAGACACCCCAGGATTTGGTGATCAAATCAATAATGAAAGTTGGTAAGACTTGCCTTTTGTAATGCTGATTTCCAATCACTACATGTATTTTGTCAAGAGCGCTGTGTTGATTGGGAAGCTGAGAGTCCTTTGGTTTTAAAATGCACTGTGATACAGATGGTGCATTAACTTTAGGTTCAAGCCTTGCAGGGGTTATTTTGTTTCTGCTTGAACAAGAATAGAGGAATCAGTAGAATTACTGATTTGGCAGCATTGAAGGGGTTCAGAGGTTTGAGGGTTGTCCATGGATGCAATCCAATTCCTTGTTAAGCAGAGGAAACTGACTTTTGTGTGTGCAAACATTTTGCAAATTGAGCATAAAAATTCAAATTGAAACTGTAGTACTAAATAAAATGTAAAAAAAAATTGATAAATCAATTGAAAAAGTAATTGCAACGCTAATGTTTCGAGGGCTGGTAAAGGTCCTTAGTTCCCCCCTCCTAAAGCCAGTTCTTAGAATTAACCTTCAGTTGATAAAATGTAACTTGAGCAGTGATTCACACGGTTAATGTTAAAACCTTTTTAAATGTGTTACATTTACTTATATTATAATGGTTCTCTGTAGCTGGGAGCCAATCTTGAAATATATACAGGAACAGTATGACAAATATTTAATAGAAGAAACAAGCATCAAGAGGAAGCCCAGGGTTCCTGACAGCAGAGTTCACTGTTGTCTTTATTTTATCGCACCAACAGGGCACAGGTGAGAGATAGTTAATGTTTGTTTATTCAGATCTTTCTCTAAAGGCCTCAAAAACACCATGATGTACTGACATGTACATGTGCGGTTTGTAATGCCAGGGTACTAAGAAATGTGACAGAGGATGATTGTGTTAGCCTCTTCCAGACATTCAGTTAGTTGGGGCGTGGCACGAAAAAACAGTGAGCGAAAAAATAGGGGAAAAGCACTTCTCCCCTATTTTTTCGCTCACCTTTTTTGGTACTGCGCCCTAACTAACTGAACACATGGAAGAGGCTAAGGATGTGTATGTTGGTGAAAAATGAAAAATGTGACTGTGCAGCTTGTTGCAAGCTTAAGAGTTAGAATGGCTCTGATTTTGTTAATTTTGCTCTTGTCCAGGCTGAGACCCATTGATGTGGAATTCATGAAAAGACTAGACAAGTGTGTTAATATTGTACCAGTGATTGCCAAAGCAGATACCTTAACAGTTGAAGAGCGTGAAGCCTTCAGAAGGAGGGTATGTTTGCACTCGGACTGATTTGCAGAAAACTAACTTTGCAGTCAACTAATGTGCTTGTCAGAGGATTCATGACTGTAAAAGAATTGTTAGGAATTCTGCTTTGTATTATACTTGCCATGTTGAGAATTTGTTATTTTTCCTTTTTCCTCTTTATGAACTGATGTGTGTGCATGCACAGTTAATTTGGCTTTTGTCATAGAAAACTCAAGCTCGTAATCTAATTGTTAAATAGTATACGATAACTCAGCCAGTCAGATTGCAGCACTTGCATTAGTTTTCAAGTAAAATGTTTTCAAGTATTGATTAAATTTGATGTGTTTAATGATAGAAGTATGTTGATAGATTCAGGTGTACAGGTACCTGCGTTACCATGAAATTGCTCATTTACTAATGGTGAGTTTAATAATGTTTGCAGTTACGTGAGGATATAGAAAAAAACCACATCAATATCTATCCAATACTTAATCGACATGATCTTGACGAAGAAGAAGCCCGAACGACTTCAAGAATCAGGGTTAGTCAAATACTCACAAACCTCTGTCTGTCATAATGTCATTTCAGTTAATAAACCATCGGAGGATATCTTTTAAGGAGCTCTGCCACGTTATTTTGAGTTATTTTAGCTACGTACAAATTACCTTCAGATTGAAGGAAACCTTAAAATAGTCATGTACTAAGACAGAAAAAGACCAAAGAGAAATAATAAACCATAAAGGAATAAGTTTGGTGCAGGATGGAGAAGATTAGCGCGGATTACGTGACAAACGACGAACATGAAACATTTAGCCTACACTTTTCAAGATGCACTAACCCTTACGTAGCATTATGTTTTGATGTCTGATTTTAGGATCAACTGCCCTTTGCTGTGATTGGAAGTGATCGTTACGTCACAGTGTCGGGAAAACCTGTGCTTGGAAGGAAGACAAAATGGGGACTCATCGAAGGTGAGAAAAATTTTCAGACATACGTGTACTTAATAGTAGTAAACGTATCAGTAGGGACCGGGCTTTTCCGACTTCTTATAGACTTTTCAGCCTGAAACTGGGAAAAAAGTTACAGTATAATTATAACTTAGGAAAATGGACAGATCTTTTAGCGTACTAGAGGCTAAACATGCATTCTGAAGCTCTATTAGTTCGGTACTAACAATAAAGTCAGCTACCACATTGTATATTATTGCGTGACATGTATTTATGATAAATGAACTTACATCTATTATGTCTGAATTAAGGTATAACTTAGTAATTGTTCCTTTTTGCTTCAGTTGAAAACAAGAACCATTGTGAATTCGCGCAATTAAGAGACATGTTAATCAAGTAAGTTTGATAAAATTTTCAAGTTATCGCAAACATAAATTATTTTTTTAACGCCCTTTGCAGCATCAACGGTGTGTAAAGGGCAAATGATGCCGATGACGTTGATAAATTGTCTGTCTGGGATTGTATTCTGATATAAATTGTTCCAACTCAAACATGTCCATCTATTTTTATCGTAAAACCCTCTTTTCAGTGTTTCATCTTGTTTGATTACGTGTGTTTGGTCTCCGCAGAACACACATGCAAGATCTGAAGGAGGTAACAGACACTATTCACTACGAAAGTTATCGCCGCAAGCGCCTGACGGAGGAAAAACATGACCAAATTGTTTTACAAAACAATGTTGTGAACATGGATGACATTAATTGTCAGGAGAGTAAAATCTAAATGAAAATCTTGTAGAACAGGATGAATTCTACACCAGGGCTTCTCGGTCATTTCAAACCAAGTCGAGAGATGTTTGCAATTCAGACAAAATATTTGCTATTCTATACGATTACAATTTATTAGACTTTTGTTACAATTTTGGATTTAACAGACATTTATAGCTTGAGAGTTTTTCTATCAAGGGTCGCACAAGGGAATTCGTAGTGAGATGAATGTACAGCGTGGTGCTGTAAGCTGAGCTCATCAATTTTGCTACGGTCGGAGATTTGTGAATCGGCCTTGTTTCTCGGCAGTTATGTCAGCGGAGGAGATGTTTAATGACGGGACGTCTAATGAATAATTTGATTTTTTCTATATTGAACTTAAATTCTCAAGTGTTCAATTTCAAAATTCTCTTTAGAAAATATGTGCACTTTCAAGCAGTCAGGTGATGAGAATAAAGAAAACCATAAATTACAGGATTTCCATTGCCTTGATATTGCTACAAATTCTCAGAACTTAAACTGAAAGAAAATTCAGCGCAATAACTAAGGAGAATTGCTTCTTAGATCTTAGAACTGAAACGAAAAGATTGTTGGTTATATTCTTATGGAAACAATCATCTTTCTTTGGAATCTTTTGATCTCTTGTATACCTCTAGTTTGAAATTAATAGTGCACTTTCTATGATATGTTTTTATGTTGTGGCTAGCCATTTCTAAGATTGTAATATTAATGCAATTTCGATGATAATGTTTCTAACCGTTTCTTAGGTTGTAAAATGAACTTTTTTTCCTATGTTATTATTTTTGCTGTTAGATTGCTCTGAAAATCATCGACGAGAATCGAACTAACAGCATGTGTAGGTTAGTCTTTCTAATTATGATTCACGCGTTCTGTGTTTTGCGTGGAAAATGATCAAGTAATAATCACCTATTTGGACGTTTGTGAAGTCGTTTCGCAGTAAATGACAAGGTCTGTAGATTTGTGCGAAGTTCTTTTCGAGGTTTTAAAAGGAACTAACAATGGAAACTTTAAAATCTTTCGCTCTACTTTCGTCACTTTGAGACTGCGATACTTGAGAAGGAAGATGGACAAAAACTTTCTTAGTGGAGCAGGTACAAATAAACGCAAAAGAACTCATTTTTCACCTATAGTCGGAATTTTTGCGTGACGGTTGAAAACCAAAACACACAAGCTCTCTTGTCGGGCGCGGTCATTTAGGTTTAACAGCAGTCATGAAGAAAATTATATACTAGTTTTCCCAGGGCGACAATAAATAAGTAAATAAATAAATAAGTATTTCATAATATTGCAATGAAACAAATTTAAGTTTCTTCATTTAAACTTATTGTATGAATTTACAAAAATAAGTTAAACTAACAAAGTTCTTATTGAAATAAAAACGCGAACTTCTATTAAATCTCACAGCGAATCATTTGAGAACTTTTGTATTCTTCACTGCTTCCTTAGTTTTATTTTTTATTTCAACGCTACGTACTCCTGCAGTGCATGTACGGGTGGAGACAATTGCGAAGATATAACACTATTCAAGACAGAAGGCTTTAGTGTAAATACACGTTAAGAGCGGGGAGTACTCGAACATTCGTCAGCGTTAGAGCACTTGTAAGATTTACGTGATTCGCGGGCTCTTGGCACCTTGCTATCTCCTTTTTTACCACAATTGCTACTAATCTCGCAATCTGATTGGCTAATTTGCTGTTGTCGATACGAGTCCAGACAACGCTGCTCGCGTCGATGTGTCACGCTCTGAAACACACATTTTCTTCGACGTTGATATTGTGGTAAAAAATAAATCGAATGTGGTTTAGTGTTGTCTGTGCTCTTATCGACAACGATATGCGTCATCACAGTGGTCAAAATTTGTTGTGACTCTGCGCCTCGTGATCATGAGTCCACAACATTTTGACCACTGTGATGACGCATATCGTCCATAAGAGTACAGACAACGCTAAACCTCATTCTATTTAACAAATTGACGTCAGCTTTTTATGCGTCTGTCCCCTTATTGATAATAAATTGCGTCATAATATTGTCAGAGTGGTTCCACAGTAAACTTCGACAATGTAATGAAATTTATTATCAATAAGAGAACAGACGCTTAAAAAAACTGACGTCAATTTGTTTTTTACAACAATAATTAAGACCCCAAAATGGTCAAATGCCGGGAATAAATGAGTGGGAAAAGACGCCGTAAACTTGCCGTAAACAAAGATGACTGTATTTTATTCAAAATGACGCGAACAATATCTATAGCTTTTCTCGCTTTTTGTTTGGCTGCTTAAAAAAGTCCATAAAATCTCACTGGTTAAAAAGTTGACAGTTTGACAGCTGAAAGTTGAACTTGAAAGCTTGCATAAATCAAAATTTTATCCGTCTGTACTCTTACTGATGATCAAAATGAGCCAATCAGCGCGCGAGAAATTAGTTATTGTAAAACTGTTAATTCGACACCGATTCGACTGTCCCCCATCCTGCTTACTACTGTAGTCCTGCGTTGCCTGGGATGCACGATGACAACCAGCTTCCAGGTTCCCGCGTTCTCAGTCTCGTGCACAGAGCCACTCGTTTCTGGAATACCGCGAAAAGTAAGACTCTGGGGACAACAATGAGAGAGTCCTTTTGTCAGTTGTGGTCAGCAACTATCTTACGCACAGCGCGCGCAGACCACACTTGCATCGCAATTGTCCTACGTATGTCAGCTGTGTCTTTTACACCAAGTAAGAGCCCAGAAGCTTGCGGAAATGAAACATATCTTAAAGCGGCCAGAACATCAGCCAAGCTTCCCCGCTGTCCTGCGCACCTGGGACCCACTCCCCAACAAAAGACCGGCTCAATGGTAGAAATAAGCTCTTTGTGCTAAACAGGTTTTTTTCTATGACGAGTCCAAGTCGGTCATATCAGGATAGTCCATTCGAAAGCCTTTCAGAATTGTTTTGGGCAACTTGATGAAAATACTGGAGGAATTCTGTGTCAGTAAGCCCAGCTGGAACACTGCACACTCTATGTATACCCTGTTACAGTACCCTCCTGGTCGCCAGTCCGGAAAGCAGCTGGTTTTGTTTTTCATATTCCACTTTGTGTCCGGAAAAGGCCAAAACCGATAGATTTTGCATGCAACCCTGTGGCCGTGCTTCGGAAAAAACGCGACTTAGGGCGTGTAATTTATGAAGGGCCTGATTTTTACTGATTTGCCCAGTTACGCCATCGAAAAACACTCTTACTCGTGTACAATATGTAGTTTGCACTTGTGGCTACTGTAACACTATAGCTAGTGATGTACAAGGCATCTAAAGGCTCTGGTATACCAACTACGCATACAGCAATTTATTTCAGGACTACTGATTTGGTGCGTGTGGCACTTTTCAGCTTCAGCCATGGAACCTTTTGACACATATTTAGCTGCTTTACAACTCTTGGCGGCAATTACATGTAACATACTCAGTAATTCAATTAGATACTGCTCGTCACGTTATAATAAGACTGGCCTTTCTTGTTGTGTAAATTTTACCTCGTTTTACGAGCTTGCAAAATTCTTAGTTTTAACTATTTTCTTATTCCTGTTCACGACGGTACCTGTTCTAAGGAATAAAAGCAACACAGTGCTATCAAAAGGAAGTGAATTGAAATACCCAGTTATAATAATTAACTTTCATAAGAAGACATGTCTATCAGGTCTTCTGTGACGTCATAAGGGTCTTTCTAACCCGTGGTATGTTATAGTCTTTCAAATTTAAATACTCTGGACTGGCTGGTAACCTGTTATCCACCCTCTAAAGACAGTTAAGAAATCCACGCTCTGTTCGAGAAACAATATTGGGATTAGTTGGATGGTTCAACAGCTGGGTTTTTTCAGACATTTCTATCGCGGAAGATTAAAAAATGCCTGACTTGTCGGCCAGTGTAATGAGGAATAATGAAATGTTTTGAGACAACAGAAGCCATTTAATTATTTTTTACGTTTTAATATCACTATGAACTTAACCTATAATTAACTATTTATTAGCTCTAGTTAATTGCAGCAATTTGAAAATGGTCGATTCCGGTCAGTTTAAGCTCTTACTTGCCATTAGTTTAAGTTCCGGGTGAGGGAATAAAGTTGTCTGAAGTTCTTAGTTACAACAATGTAATAAAACCACGAAAACAGTAAAGATTTCCATAAAATAAAAGCTACTGAAACAGCCAAAAAGATGTAGCGTGAGTAAAACTGTTAAATATTTGATGTTAAGAAGAAGACTGCTCTTTGGATAGAGCAACAACTTGTCGATTAGAACTAAAGTTGAGAACTGGGTGATGTACTGTATTCTTGTATCCCTAGCTAGGAAAGTAAACAAGCCACTGTCACTTAAAGGTTTGCGCGAATGCTAACCTCCTTATTGTGTTGAATACAATCTGCTACACGTGCCTTGTTGTCTACTCAACCCATGTATTGTTTTCGTTTCAGACTAGCAGTTAGATCTCGACTTTAAAAGTAAACGCAAAACAAAAAAAATTAACCCTAACACCACCATGCATGAATTGGTGTGACTGATGCCGCGAGCTGAGAACGGAAATTGTTACTCTCTTGCAGTAAATAATCAGACAGGCCTTTAACGTCGCCTAAATTACTTTTCAGTAAAACACAATCTAAAGTTTTAATTAAGACAAGAGGATTAAGGTGTCTAATGTTATGGAAACACAATGAATTAAGTAGTTTGAATTAACTTCGCAAATTTGTTATTCTCATAACGTAACAATCCAAGAAAATCAACTGTTTTCCGTTACTAATTTGTGTTCGATTTGTTAACGTTCCATTGTTTTTTTCTACTGAACTATTTCCGCAAAATCTGTGCTAGGCACAGCTGGTGAGAGACTTTTTCTTGTTGAACTTGCGTCAATTACTGAATTCTTAGCCTTATAACTCCCACACAGCGTAGGCAGCTAGCGCGGATTGCCAAATCTCCCACGAAAATTTCTGTTAAGGGCATATGGATATTAATACCAGTTAGATTTCAATACATCACCTGGGTGTGAATGTAATTTGTCCGTGTCGCATGTATGAGTCCAATGTCACAAACTACGTCAAGGCTAATCATCCTACTGCATAACTTTTACCCAACTCAATAACAACCGTAGCAACCAGGTGGCTATGAGTCTTTTTGGTTAGGCAGGTGGCCATACAGGGTTAGAGTTTATGAACTTTCCAAATAATGAAGGATTACACCTAGACGGGTGGATATATAGCAGTCAATAAAATGTGGTATCTACCTGTTGGTCGCAAGGGTATAAAAATACCGTTGAATATTAGTAATTTATCGGTGTGTTTACTGACTTGTTCAGAAGTACCAAGACCATTGACTTCAACTTGTGGAAGTTCTCAGATCTTTGAGCTACAGTGAGAAAAGCAATTATGCCGCGATCATTTAGCATTAGAAGAAACACGAGAAGGCATCCAAATGTATCAGACACTTGTGGTAAGGGTTAGATTCATTCAATTCAACTTAATATAATTAGTTTGTTGGGGTGATCGACGCGATTGGTAGGATTACTTACCAGTGAAACGCCAACTTCGAGACGAAGTGGTATTTTAGGTGTGAGAAAATCAGTAACACACGCTACGTGTACTGACCGAGCCGTTGGGACGCAGTTTGCTTTTCGCTCCGTCCAAGTTACGTGAAGGTTTTACCGTATTGGTCTGGCTTGAAAGCAGTACGCGATTAAACCAGTATTTTCAGTTGTTTACTTTAAATATAATTTCTGCATCATCAAATTTCAAATACAATACTGTTGCAGTGTGAATTTCAGGAAAATCCCAAATTCGGCACTGGTCAGAACTCTTTCGACTTCTTTGCCAATTATTCAGCGATGGATCACCTTTTTTCTGATCGATTTCAAACTGTAGAGAACACTTTTACAAATGTGGTCGTTTGAATTCAGTGGTAGTGACACTTGCTGATAAAGTAGCATAACGGGTTAGCCTTGGAGTAGTTAAACTTGCCGTGTTTTACCGAATGCGGAATCAAATGTGGGTCTCGTTTTGTTATAACTCTGCTGTATGCTTGGCTGTCTACCAATTCAGTGTATGAAACTTAAGACAAACACCACATCGTGGTTTAATTTCACTTTTTTTTTTTATTTAGTTCGAAGCCCCCAGGTGTATTTTTATGTCACTTTCCATTTCCCATGTGCACAGGTGGTATTCCTCTGAGTTCTATCAAATTAACTCTCGTTTTCTGAATGCAGGTAAGACTGTGAGTAAACGAACTTCAAGAGCTTTGAAAGAAGTCACTGCACGTAACGCAAGAGTTAAAACTAGTCGAGAGGAAGTTAGTGCTGAATCAATTACCGATGCTAACTTCACAGAACACTTGCCGGAAATGACCGCTCATGGATACACAGTCGATTTTCTTCCTTATCCCGTCAGCGAACTTCATGATCACGAAAACGAGCTGTTTGGAAAAGCCACTGATCTTAAGTACCACTGCCCTTATTGTAGAAAAGTCTTTAAAAACAAGTACACTTTCGAAAAGCATATGAGAATGCCTGAACACACCAGTGACAGACCATTTGCCTGTCCAACTTGCGGGAAAGGTTTTCGACTGTCCAGCACGCTGTGTCGACACAAGATCATCCACACCAACCAGCGACCCTTTAAATGCCAGATTTGTGAAAAAGCGTTCAATCGACACTCTACCCTGACGACACACTACAAGACGCACAAGGATCTGGTAACGAATGAAGGCGTGGTTGCTCTGCAACGTTATGACGCGGCAGTCTGGAAAGGAATTACTAATATGAATCAGAGAGTGTGTTTCAAGTGTTCTTTTCACGGTTAATTTTACCATTTCCATCGCGACATAATCCAACGTGGATGCAAGGGAATTTCGAACAGGGAGTGCAAAATGGCCTGGAATAGGCCACATTCGATATATCAAAATTCTAACAAGGCTCCGAGGCTATAACTTCTATATTTGGTGGTGTTTTCTTTGTATCCAAGTCTCTTTTGGGAATTGAGACACAAAAGAAACTTAAAAAATTAGAATTTTGACCCGATAGCCTCGGAGCCAGGTTAGAATATTGATATGTCATCGAAAGTGGCCTATTCCCTCACATACATGCTGGATTATAATGTAATGCAAATGAGGAAAGTTAATAACGCACCCGGGTGGGTACTCCCACAAAAGTGGGGTAGGGGTGTGCGGCCCACTTCCCAAAGCCCTTACCCTATT